CTGAAAGGGCGAGCATGTTTGGTGTGACGGGGATTCGATCCCGCGACCCTCAGATTGCGAGTCGAGCGCCTTAACCACCTGGCCATGCCGGGCCCACCAGTTATGGAAGAGTGAAAATTGTGACTATTTCAATTATTACACCCAATTAACAAAGTTACCAGAATGTTTTTTTTTATTATTATTGGCTGATTATTTTTCTGGGTAATGTCAGTGATCCGATCACTCTACAAAATAACAAGCAAAAAAGAATAGCATTTATATGATGGTTGAAAAAAAAAGAGCTCTGAAAACTCTATATGTGTGTATGTGCAAGAATTTGCTTCTTGTGATGAAACAGGGCCTAGTATAGCTTGATGACTAGGGTGCTTGTCTCGTAATCTGCGGATCTGGGTTTGAATCCTATAACTAAATATTTTCTTCTCTTTAACTGTAGGGAGGCGGGAGAAGTTATGATTTGACAGTCAATCCTGGTTTTAGAGTTGGTGATGGGTGATGTTAACTAGTTTTCTTCCCTTTAGTCTAGCACTTTTAACTTAGAACAGCTAGCGCAGATAACCCTCGAATAGTTTTGTGCAAAATTCAAAAAACAACCCCCAAAAACTTTCTTCATTGTCCTGGTGTCCCAAACTGATCCATTTTAATTTTTTCTAATGTAGTTGTAGTACAGAATAGTGACACATGTTTAATACCCTCTTAATTAATATGTAATTGTTTCGAAATTTCTATTTTCTTTGTGTTCAGTTTGAATACAGAAAGTTGCTAAAGTTAGCATTTTGACTTTTCCTTTCTTTAACTGCATACGAACCACTATCACTCTCATTGGTCATTGATTGAATTTGGTTACATGAAAGATATATGTGACTTCACTGTTAAATCCCAAAATAGACAGCTGCCTTTTTTTTCAGCAAATTGTTTAAAGGCCCAGAACCTTCCCATCTGTGATTAAAAGAAACTGGAGTCACAAAGTGGTGTGCATGCTGTGAGGTCTGGGTTTGGTTATGTTATTGTATTTGGGTATTTAATGATCTCACCCTGTTAGACAGATCTAGATAGGTTTTTCAAGATAAGTTTGATATATTCAGATTTAGAGTTGTAAGTTTTTAACTTTGTATATAGTCCTATTGTTTAACATATAGATTTGTATTACTTTAACTTTGAGGGTTTTTATTTATTTCACTCTTATCTCTATTGTCAGTCATTCATATAGCAAACAATTACTCTTGTATTGTATTTTACTTTTTTATGATTGTAACATAAAGGGTTTGTCTCTTTCTTTGAAATAAACTGAGTTAGAGTTCAAAGAAAATCAAACATATACTCTTATGTCATAGTATTGGTGGAACCTTCTGTTCAGCATACCCTACCCCTTCACTCTTAGGGAAATCAGTATATCTGAAAATACTGTTACGACAGCGGAGGTCACGTGACGCTAGTAACACAGTCATATTCTCGAAGCTTCGTGAATCCTCGGGAGGTTACTAGATTTCGGTATTCTTGTACATATAAGACGGTCAAGACGTGACGGCAACAATGGGTAATTGAACTGCGGACAGAGAGAGAGACGTATTGTTGAGCACGTGAGACG